TTATCAGCCTTGAGTTAGGCAGATCCACTCCTTGTAATACCTTGAGTTTGGCAAGAGTTAGGGACAGAAAATTCCCTCTCTATTCATTCTCTCGATCGAGATCAAGGAAGCCAAGTCATTGTTGTACAATCGGCCTCAGATCTTATACTTTTCGGTGCCTGTTTTGCACCACTTTACCAGCAAACGTAACGCCTAGGGATTGGTCTACAAGCCTCGCGTTTGAAATGAAAAATATGAAATGAAAGAAAGGATCTCCCATTTGCCAGAAAATTTAGTGGAATTTGTGTCATTATTGGACTCCAAAATGCTAAACCAGGGTTTTAAAACTCTGATCGGAATCACCCAATCTAAATTGGTAACCGGTGGGACCAGTCCGATTCCCACCATATATCGAGTCTAGATCGATAACCAATGGCACCAGTCTGATTGCCACCATATATCGAGTATAGGACGGTTCCTTCCAAGATGCTAAACCATTTTAAAACTCTGATTGGAATCACCTGATCTAGATCGATAACCGGTGGGACCAATTCGATTCCCACCATATATCAAGTCTAAATCGGTAACCGGAGGGACCAATCCAATTCCCACCATATGTTTGATTGGAATCACCCAATATAGTTCGGTAGCCGGTGGGACCAGTCCGATTCCCACCATATATTGAGTCTAGATCAGTAACCGACGGGACCAGTCCGATTCCCACCATATATCAAGTCTGATTATCGAGTATCAATTCGACCAGTAGGAACCGTTTGATTTCGCTAAGAATTCCCGTTTCGCTAAGAATTGGCTGCTAGGCAGCCCAATACCCACATGTGTTTTTTTAAATTTAGAAAGTTTTTCTTTTTGCATCCTTACACATTTCATTTATTTGAATTTTTTTTAATTTAGAGAGAAGTATTTCTTTTTCATCCTTACACATTTCATATATTTGAATTTTTTTTAATTTAGAGAGGGATGGTCAAGTGAATCACCCCTCCCTTTCCAATCGGGCAATTTCTTTGTTTATAAATAATTTTCAAATAGTTATTATTCAAATTTTTTTATTTACCAAAGGGCCAAGACATCCATGTGAATGGCCCATTGGCGTGATGGGGTAGGAAGCCCCTAATTAGGTTGTCTTTTATAGAGCAAACTCCCCCATATTTAACCTACATCCTCAATGCGGGATAAAACAAACCTAGCAAAAAAAAAATGTTCAAACCATATCAAGCCTATGGTTTGCATTTGGTTTGTTATTTTTTTAGTTTTATGCTTGTTTTCGCATTACCATCTACCATTCTGTGTTTGTTATTTGAGAAAAATAACAAACAAAATTGAGTTTAAATGCATCTTAAAGTCAAAATTTCAGTTCACAGTGCAAGTAAACAACTAAATGAGCAATATTAATAACCTATATCACAATCAGCGATGACTAATTTGACATAATAGATAAAATTGAATTCAAAGCAACTTTTCAAACTTAATTTTAATCATTAATCTAACAAATGATAAACTGTGAATAATCTTTCATGTTCTTCAATAAAATTATTTTTTTAAGCTATTTAAAAAAAAAGCATTGTCTACAAAGAGTCTATTTATCTTTTTGGACATGGAAGTCACTATCATTCTTATCTCTTAAATTTAAAAATGGGTGGTTGTAAGTGTGTCAGTAAATAGACACAAATTTCAAAAAAAATTCTCGGACTTCGTGACTTACCCCAAGCCATCCAATTTAACATCTAATGAGTGTGAATGATTGTGACCTTCTTGTGGAAAAGATAAATGGTCTCTTTGTAGACAATCTTTTTGAAAAATACACCATTTAGATGAGGAAAAAGTTTATATAGAGCCGAGGCTCTAACAATCAAATTTGAGCCTACCTCAAACATTTCACTAGAAGCGGTTGTTTTGATGCCCTAATATCTTCAAATTGATAATTTCGACATCAAGATGCAAGGACATGAGAAAAAAATAGATTACAAGTTTTGGAAATAGTGTATTTTGTAACGTATTTTTTTACTATTAATTTTCAAGATTTTCAAATTTTCATATATATGTCGGATCTATACTATTTTTGAAGCTTTAAACTATATAAATAAATATAAAAATATACTTTAAGGCTATCACAAAGATTTCCAATATTTAAACCACATTTCTCAACATTATTTGAAGGTAGGCTCTAATTTGATTGTTTAGAGCCTAGGTTGTATAAAAACCACACCCTTTAGATAATCTTTCCAAAAAATATACGAATAATTTTTAGGGAATATGCATTTGTAACATAGTTTTGCGCAATTTCATCCTATCCAACCAAGCACATAATTGAACCTCATCTCTCGATAAAACACATCAATATTATGAAGTCGACTGCCCCCTCTCTCTCTCTCTCTCTCTCTCCTCTCTCTCTCTCTCTCTCTTCTACGTACTACTACGTACTACGTACTAACG